CTATACCCACTCTTTGGAAGGATTGATCAATGATAGGGATGTGCTGTAGGGGAGTCTCTCTCTATTCCCCACTTTTGCCCGTCCGCTGGCACGTCTTGAAAGATCTGCAGTACTCTGTCACATTAAGGGCAATTCTGGGCCAATAAAAGTTCACCTGCAGCCACTGGCGTGTCCGTTCCCTGCCTATGTGACCAGCACATGGTAAATAGTGAGCCATAGAAAGCAATTGTTGTCTGAACTTACAAGGTACTATGAGCTGGCGATGGGGTTCCCAGGTCTCAGCATGGTTCTTTGGTACCCACAACCGATAGAGAAGTCCCTTATCCCAGATCACCTGTTCCTTCTTATCTGGGGTGAACTCTGTCTCTTGCTCCTGAGCCATCTGCCGGAGTTCCTCCAAGCTGGGGTCCGCCAGAACCTCCTGCTTGAACTCCTCTTGCCCAGCTAAACAATCAACAGAGAGTTATGGTGCTCCTGTAAGGAGTGCACCTGCACCCTCAGGGATGTCCTTTAATTTCTCCCCAAGAGTCTCAGTTTCCTCTGCCACTGACTGACCAGACTCCTCCCCGGGACTGTCACTTAACCCAACCTTGAGGTCACTGGTTTCCTCAATGGCCAGGGACTGATTGCAGTCAGAGGGAGTCAGAGTCTCTCCATCCTCCCCCTCTGCCTTAGTAGCCAATTGGGTGACCAGGCCCTGGGAAGTTTCCACTCCTCCTGCCTTAGCCTTTCTGCTTTGTTGACGAGTCACCACATTAACCCAGTAGGGCTCTAGCTCTAAGAGGTGGCCCTCCTCCCTGTGCAGGTATTCTAGCTCCATAATATCGCATCACACCAGGATGGGAACAGGAGTCCCTTCCAGCACACCCAGTTGTATGCACATCCCGCAACCTCTCCACTCGATGGGGGGATGTGTTACAGGTACCTCAAATGGCAGGGACCCCACCCCTTGAATGGTAAGGGTCCTTCGTGGGATTATATCTACAGGTGAAACAAGGTTGGCATTAATTAATGACACACTGAACCCTGTGTCCAGTTCCCCAACAAGGGTTGTCCCGTTTACCGTTATCTTTGTCTGGTGGAAGGCTGTCACCTCCTCTGGGTTTTTAATCCTGTAGCAATAGGCACGCCCCTCAGAGTGTCTCAGGTATCCCCCCTCACTGCTTACAGCTGTTGCATGCCTGATGGGCTTGGGTTTGTTGCTTAGCTTTGGGCAGTTGGGCTTGATGTGGCCCGGCTCCTTGCAGTTATAGCACCACCTCTTTTCCGAATTGGGTGGTTTGCCCGAATGTGGGGCCGCCTTGCACTCAACAGGAGGTGGCCCTCTTTCCCCTTTTGGACCTGGCCCTCCCTTCCCCACTCTTTGGAACCCTTTCTGTTCCTTCCCAAAGTAGGGAGGATTCTTGTCTGGTCCCTCACAATTTAGTAACAGCTGATCCGCAATTTCAGTGGCCTCTTGGATGGTTTTGGGGGCCCTGTCTTTGACTAGGGTTTTAATCTCCCTCAGGCAGCAGTAATAAAATTGGTCCAGCGCCATGAGGTGTAGCACCTTCTCTAAATTGTCAGCCTTGGCTCTTTCTGCCCATTTAAGGAGTGCATCCCACACCAGGGCCGCAAAATTGGCCATTGTATTCTTGGGTTGTGGGCAGGTATTCTGGAATTTCTTCCGGAAATAATCCAGTCCTAACTTAAACCTTGAAGAACAGCATTTTTAAAAGCATCATAGTTATCGCTGATTCTGAAGGCAGGCTGTTCAGCACCACAGACATGTCGCCCTCAACCAGAGCAGACATGTGTTTCATGAACTCTTCTTTTGGCAACTTCCATCGGCGTGCTTGGTTTTTGAAGATGCTTAGGAACACTTCTGGATCATCTCTGTCTTTGTAGTGAGAGAAGATTGGGGTGTTCAGTCTGCGGGATGCATTTTGTGCGGGCTGGGCACCTGCGGTGTTAGCATTTGCCTGCATTTGAATTACTGCAAGCTCATGCTCACACTGTTCCTTCTCGTGCTCCATCCTTTTCAATGCTAGCTCATGCTGACGCTGCTCCTTCTTGTGCTCCAGCTCCATCCTTTTCAACTTTAGCTCCTCATGCTGACATTGGGCCTCCCACTCCTCACGCTGGTGCTAGGCCTCCAGCTCCAAACTCTTCAACTCTAGCTCATACTTGCACTTGCTCTCTCACTCCTCAGCTTCTAGCCACATCTGGTACCACCAGCACCCCGCCTGTGGCGGGGGGCTGGCAGAGAGCTCCGGACTTGGTTTGTGGGGATGTGATTCTGGGGAGGACTCAGGAGTTGCCGTGTGTGAAGGTGGCTCTGTGGCTGAGTCATTGTCACACAGGAGTTTAATCAGCTCTTCCTTCTTTAGCCCTTACTTCACATGAAGGCCTCTCTCTTTCACCAGCTCTTTCAAGTGGGCCACCATCATGTGGTCATACTTGTCAGCCATCCTAGCTATCTACACTGTCCAGTTGACCCGATACTGAATGGATAATTCTTTGCTCAAGGGTTTCCAGTGACTCTATTCCTTTTCCCAATTTATGCCTCTCATACAGCAGGGTATTCGGATCCCACTCTGCCACCACGTGAGGCAGGCCAGTAGGGGGAGCTCCTGCATTGAGCCTCCCACCTCACTATGCCCGTCCACCTTCCAGACTCCACGTGTCTCTCCAGGGGTGCCTAAGCCCTGGCAGACCCCCTTTCGTGCGCCACTTCAGAGTCCGGGGGTAATGTGTGCTACCACCACCCCAAGAAGGGACTTCCCTGTGTCCTTGGGGAAAAACAGGCCTAATAATCCTACGGGTACTCGACCCAATACAAGAACTCAGAGCACTTCCTCAAGTCGGGGGCCAAAAAGGATAGTCTCCCTTAGTCCGCAGACCCTGAGGGCCTCCTGGGTATAATTAAACCCACCCCTCAATAAGTATCCCATACTAGGTACAAAGGAGAAATGTATTGGTTACAGAGGGTAGGGTTAGAATAGGGTACAGGGTAGAGCAATATCAGAGAAATCCCACAGAACAAACTCCTGTAGCTGGGGTAGCCTTTGATTTCGCATCTGAGTTACTGCAAGCTATATATCTAGTTGGATTCAGTTAGCTTACTCACAAGTATCATCCAGAGGCAGCTGGAGAATCCCTCTGGAGGCAGGCAGTTCCTTGATCATGAGTTTTGAGAGAGAGACCAAGTTTCAGATGGTACAGCTCTTCTTCGTTCCTGAGTATCCCTCATGGCTGGTTCCCCCTCCTCCTGGCAGTCCTTAACTTATATAGCCCTTGTGACCTCATTTACCTGGTCCAATGGAGGTCAGCACCTGTTGGCTATCAGCCAGCCAATTTGAAATGCATCACTAGTTGCCGGGCAGAGTCTAGCCCACCAGGAAGGAAGCCCCTCACTCAGGTATGTGATACTAGTCATGGAGGCAGAGAGAGCAGGTTTCCCCCTCCCTCAGGAATGTATCCATCTCAGGTTACCTAGAGAGATAGGGTAAGGATGTCTCTCTCTGCTGGGCCCATCGTTATCAAATTGTCACAGAGCAGAGACTTTGGGGAGAGACAAAGGTGGCTTTCTGCTACAGCATGAAACAAAAATGACAAAGCCATAAGGAAAATACAAAGTGCCCAAGTGAGGGACTAACATAGGAGGGTGTAGGGATGAGGAGGGGAACACAGCTAGGTTACGTATCTTTAATGTTAGCCAATTAAGCTGGGGGATGGGGAGGGTGGAGGAAGGGGAGGGAGGGGGTTGCAATGCTGAAAGGAAAAGAAGATAGATGTACACAAACCTGTACAATAGTCCACAATGGTGGAGGGGAATAGGTTGAAGAAGTTACTCAGTCCATAGAGTCCTATCGCAGGGCTCCTTTTTGGGTGGAGTGGACTGGTCCATGTTTGAAGATCTCTCTCATGGTCCATTAGGTGTAGAGGGGGGTTCAGACGGTTCCCTCTGGGTTCAGTCTGGTGGCAGTCATTCTGGCAGTGTTGGTGTACTAGTACTGGCCCATGATGTGCCCAACATAGATGTCACGGGACCAGCAGATGGTGTTGGACACCATGAGTCACCCCATCAACTTGGTGTAGTGGTGGGAGATGCGGCAGTCACGCAGGATGCTTTCGTTTCTGGGGTCCCAGGCTCCGAGCTCTCCCATGATGAGTGCATCCACTGTCACTTCGTAGCCACAGTTCCGCAGGATGTCAGCCAGTGGGGTGTACTTCTTTCACTTGTGAACCTAGGCATTGGTGAAGGCTTGGTGCTGGTTCTCAAAGGGCATGGTCAAATCTACTATCACAATCTTCTTGGCCTCCTCATTGGTGATGATGAGGTCAGGGTGCATCTGACTCTCACAACCTGGGATGGCATGGTTCATAGAGATCTCCTGCACTGTGGCCGTATTACACAAGGTTTGGGCACAAAGTAAGGGAAAGTCAGGAAAGGCACTTTATTCTCTAAAAGCCTATACAGCATCTCCTTGAGCTACACACCTGGCTGAAAGATGTCACCAAAATACCTTTGCTTCCTTCATAAGGACTTTATGACAATTATGGATTGTAAGATTAAAATTGAATTGTGCCTCTAATTTTTGCAAACTTGTTCCTGTGATAGCAATAGTTACTGTAGGACATTGAGAGAAACAAAAATACAATTGTCATCGTCTGGGCTATATATGTCTGCAGCAAAATAATAGTCACTTTCAAGAAATGCTACTAGACTAATCAAAACAAATAAAACAAAACAAAAAATCCAAGAACATTAATCCAACACAATTGTAATATTTGAACAACCATAGAAAAGCTTTCCATACTTCAGTCAGCCTTAAATATTGCAAATATTCTATTTAATTGTAAAGAATTTAAGTAGCAGTGAGATGAAAAGCACTGGGAATCCTCACTGTACGTTAATTGCCCAGGGGAGTAAAATCTTTTTTCTCCAAAATCCAAACTCAATGTTATTATTTCAACACCAGTTGGTAGAAGGAGCATCATTGGATACATCTCATTTTTCATTTCCTTCTGGAAGTTACTCTTGTGCTCCATAAATTTCTAATAGCATTTTTCACCTCCTTGTTTCTCAGGGTGTAGATTAATGGATTCAGTATGGGAGTGATAATGGTGTAGAACACAGTGACCATCTTATCCTCTGAGTAAGTGGTAGATGGGCGTAGGTAAATGAAGATGCAAGGTCCAAAATATATAATCACTACAGTGATGTGGGAAGTACAGGTGGAAAGGGCTTTGCGACGCCCTTCAGAAGAATGAGTTCTCAAAGAGATTAAGATGACAAGATAGGATACCATTAGCACAACAAAACAAATCAGGGACATCATCCCACTATTGGCAATAACCATGATGCTAACAATATATGTGTCACTACATGCCAGTTGCATCAAAGGGTACACATCACAGCCAAAGTGATCAATCTCATTGGGCCCACAGAAGGAGAGCTGACTTGTCAGAAGAGTCTGTACAATGGAATGTAGAAAGCTTCCCACTGAGGAAGCTATAACCAGCCAGCCACACACACGTCTAGTCATGATAGTTGTGTAATGGAGAGGTTTGCAGATAGCAATGTAACGGTCGTATGCCATAACTGTGAGAAGGAACATCTCTGTACCACCAAAGAAATGGGAGAAGAACAGCTGTGCCATGCAACCAGTGAAGGAGATTGTTTTCTTCTCTGTCAGGAGGTCTGCCATCAGTTTGGGGGCTGTGGAGGAGGAAAGGCACATGTCTACAAAAGACAGGTAGCTCAGGAAGAAATACATGGGGGACTTCAGACTTTCACTGTTTTTGATAGTGACAATGATAAGAAAGTTTCCGAGTATGTTCACAATGTAGATAAGTAAAAACAGAACAAAAAAGAATCGTTCTAACACCTGATTCTGTGAGAGTCCCAATAAGATGAATTCTGTCACATTCTGTGTAGCCTCCATGTATTAGCAGGGAAAATGAATGCTGAATGACAAAGGATTATTTCACCTGTTGTGACACAAAAATAAGAACACAAAAGTAATTTGAAGGGGAATCTTCTGCCTCCCTGATTGCACCTCGTTAGTCATCAACTAAAGTACAGTTACTCTCTTTTTAGGGATATTTTATAGATTGTAGTATTTTGATTTAAACTCTTTTATTTTTTGTTAATATTAACTATTGGCAGGTATTCTGGAAATTAATTAACAGTGCCTTCCAGCTTATATATCTAGATACAGTTTAGCAAGGCAAAATAGGAAAGTTCACTTGCCTATTTCAAATGCTTTATTTTCTCCATTACTTGAGCTTCTTCTTGCTGGAATCCTAGGCAAGAATGTAAAACCCATAGTTAAACACAGGATGAACAGTATTTACAAGCAACTAAAAATGGATTTTTTTTCCATAGAAAATTTGAATTTCCTTTTGCTTCTTCATATAAGCACTATCTATTTGTGTGACAGAAAACTGCTTCAGACAGTAGAATGCTAAAAAAATTAGAGCTGTCATTTTTCATATTGTGCAGTTGATTTGCTAGCAAGGATCTTTGAGTAGATGTGATATCTTTTATTACACTGAGTAGGTGGGAAAAAAGTTATTGGCAAGGTTTCGGCCACAGTCACCCCTCTTCAGGTATAGGGAGTTTCTGCTGTTTTATATATATATATATATATTCATTTTTCAAGTGGCATGGTTACTAATACTTATTTTTATCTTTCTGATGTTGTGCAGTATGGTCTTAGGCTAAGACAAAGTACATAATAATAACTACTACTACAACAATAATAAAAAACAAGAACAGATAGGACCTAACATATAACTCGTTATAAAGGATAGTCCCTAACTGTTGAAAGTAAATACAAGGTGACTTAGCAAATTATTAATTATACAAACTGTATTAAAGGGAGATGTATAAATTTGCTTTAGAAGATTTCATCATACTCAATTAAATTCTGAACCACAGGCAGACTTAGAATGACCTGAAATCCTTAAATAAAGAAAAAAAGTATTTTATTTGACATGTGTGCATGTGGGAGAGAGGAAAAAAAACCCATGAAGTACTAAGGCAGGCTGAAAAAAATCTTTTAATTTCATTCATTCTTAGTTTCCAATACTTGCCTGGAGATGATGGACTTGACTTCTTAATCCTCCCTCTGTCAGTAGGACACTCAGGTCTGAACAGTATTAAGTACCCAAAAAACGATGAGGATGATTTTGTATATGACTCCCCGCACTTCTTCTCTCCTACCCCACTGGCAATATACATTGTACTATTTATTGTTTCTAAATTTAATCTAAAGCCCATTGTTCATAAACCTACTATTCATATCATCCTTGCTGTAAGTAAGAACCATGTTAGTAAATTAGAGATGTATTTTGATGTCAGAACTCTTGAATCTTTTCAGACAAAGTCTCCCTCCTCCTCAGAGGATGCATCTGCGTCTTGAACAGAATCTTATCTAAGACTTTACATCCAAACTTCTCTTTCTAGAGTCTAGGTTACAAAAGGGACTTTGAGAAAGCTGTTTTCTCCCTTCACTGAGAGAATGAATGCATAAGAGAACATCCTATAATGGTAGCACATCAACCCCCCAATGATGAGCTTCCCAGAGGAATTAAAGGCTTCTCAGTTGGAAATTGTTAATTAAAAATCAGCTGATCTAGCTTACTTTAGGCATGAGTTTAGGTAAACTTTCAGTGTTGCTTTCAGCTTCAGTCCCCTTTAGCTTGTTACAGTTTCTCCTTTTAAAGTAGATGCAAATGCCTCCATGATCTCACCCAGAGATGGACCTACAAATTTGAGGTCATCCAAATGGCAATCACTTGTTCAGATTTAACCCATTGTCCTGTCACCTACCTACTTAATAAGGGTTTGAAAAATGTTGTGTCTCAGGATATCTGGGATCTGAACCTAGAACTTTTATTCCCTCAGTAGTGTATGCCCATTATTGGACATCTTGTATAAAAAAGGTATTAAACTGGATTAAGTCTACTAGGAGCAATGGATTGCAGGCCATTCAGCAGATTAACTTTAGAATGATAACTGCCTTGCTGCAAGACACTTGCTTCTGACTCTTGGCTTCTGGCCTTATTGGCCCTGGCCTTGGGCTCCAGACCTTGTAACTCAGCTTCTGGCTGCATGAGACTGCATCCTGATCTTGACTTGTCTCCTGGCTGTGTGACTCCTGCTGCAAGTCCAGGGTTTATCAGTGGATCATACTCAACACATTTGGCAGTCTCTTGTTCATAAATACCTTACCTCACAACCTTGCTTGGACCACAGTTGTAACCAGAACTGTTATAATCTTCTATTTAGTAGCACTGTTTGAAATGGCTGTGTTTCAATTTGGTTTCAGATTCAGCCATTTCGGAGGACAGTGATTTGTTTTGATGTTTCAGATCACTGTCCTGTTTCATAGTTTCATAGTTGGCAGGGTTGGAAGGGACCTGAGCAGATCATCCAGTCCGACCCCTGCCATGGCAGGAAAGAGTACTGGGGTCAAACGACCCCGGCAAGGTGTTCGTCTAACCTCCTCTTAAAGACCCCCAGGGTAGGAGCGAGCACCACTTCCCTTGGAAGTTGGTTCCAGATCCTAGCCACCCTGACAGTGAAGTAGCACCTCCTGATATCTAGCCTAAATCTACCCTCTGCCAGCTTGTGACCGTTATTTCTAGTCACTCCTGGTAGTGCTTGGGGGAACAGGGACACCCCCCCCACCAATGCCTGCTGGTCCCCTCTGCGTAGTTTGTAACAGGCCACTAGATCCCCCCTCAGCCTTCTCTTGTGGAGGCTGAACAGGTTCAGGTCCCTTAGCCTCTACTCGTAGGACCTGCCCTGCTGACTCCTGATCATGCAGGTGGCCCTCCTCTGTACACGCTGCAAGTTTTCCACATCCCTCCTGAAGTGCGACGCCCAGAACTGGATGCAGTACTCCAACTTTGGCCTGACCAGTGTCACATAGAGGGGGAGGATCACCTCCTTGGACCTGCTTGAGATGTATCTGTGGATGCATGACAAAATACGGTTGGCCTTCCTGATTGCGTCCCCACACTGTCAGCCCATGTTCATTTTGGCATCAATAATGACTCCAAGATCCTTTTCTGCCTCTGTGCTTACAAGAAGGGAGTTCCCCGGCCGGTAGGTATACTGTTGGTTCTTCCCCCCCAGGTGCAGTACCTTGCACTTGTCAGTGTTGAAACCCATCCTGTTCTCATCTGCCCACCCCTGTTTCATTTCAGCTGAATCTGTTTTGGAGATTTGGTTCTGCTGAGTCTCCTCCAAATCTGTTTCAAATGGGCTGCAAGGCAAGCTTCGTACAGCCCCACCCAGCCGGGTGAAGCTTGGGGCCAGGGGCTGCAGGGCCCAAGCAGAGAGCAGGAAGGGGCCATGGGTAGCTAATTTGGGGGAGGGCCACTGCCCTCCATGCAGGTGAGGAGACCCTCATGCGGATCTCTGATTCCTGTCATACCAGGTCACAAGGCAGGGAAGCAGTGCAGAGTGGTGAGCAAGCCAGCTGGTCCCTGCCACATGACTCAGCTCCACAGGGAGCAGAGATGCACACTGGTGGTTTCCTCGCTGCCATTGCCCACTCCATGCTGCCCCAGATCTCTGCTCCCAGCAGAGCCAGGTCACACAACAGGGACCAACACTGTCCTGCCATGTAACCTGGCTCTGCAGGGAGAAGAGATCCATGCTGGGATCTCTTTGCTGCCCACCCCATGCAGCCCCACCAGTCCCCAGCCATCTCCTGGCTGCACATACCTCCCTGAACAGCCTGGGGCTGGCTGGGAACTGTCCTGGTCAGGGGCAGGTCTGAGCCAATTGCAGGCTGGGTGGGGAACTGTCCATATGCAAGGAGCTCTCAACCCCTGCTCCGTTATTGCAATTGCAATTGTGGAGTGGTGGCTGGGAAGCTTGCTCCCAGCCGTCGCCCTGCAATCATGATCTGGGAGCCGGAGCAGAAAGCTCCCTCCTGCTGGGGCAGGAGGACATTGTCCCCACCTAGGCATGCAAGTTGGGGCTGGGGAACTTGTTCCTTGCCCAACTTTGTGAGTTTGTTCCCCTCCCAGCTCCACACTTGCAGCTCCTGAGCCTCCTCCAGCACAAAGCTCCCAGCATCTGCTTCACAACCACTTGTGGGAGATGCTTATCTCTGAGTCTAAGCTCTGTCGCTGGGGGCTTGCGCTGAGGGGCTTTTATCTCTCAGCAGTGCCTCCATGCCCATGGGGCCACTGCTGGAAGATGCTTATCTACCAGCCTGAGCTCCACGGTTATAGAGCTAAGTTTGGGAGACCCTTATCTCCTACCCTGAGCCCCTGACCATGGAGCTCAGGCTGGGAGATAAGCACCTCCCAGCAGCAGCTCCATGGTCATGGAGATGGTCCTGGGAAATAAGGGTCTCCCATCCCTCACTTCCCAAACATGATGGTGTAGCAGGGGCTGGCATATAAGTATCTTGCAGCCCCCACTCTCCAGTTGTGATTTTAGAGTGGGGGGCTTAGAGGTCCCTGTTGCCAGTGCAGGGGGACATAGTCCCTGCCCTGTTTCCTCTGGTGGAGCCCATCCCAGCAGCTGGCAGCTCCCAGGGATGGGGAGCAATCTCCTGCCCCCTAGTGGATGGCTGACTGGGAGCAGATTTTGATCCTGCTCAGGCATCTATACTAGCACTATACTATCATTACTAATGCTGAGTAAATTTTCTAACTGTGTTTACAGGTAACAAATTTACTCAATATTGAGGACATTAACTGTGAAGTAAGCATGTGCATGTGTAGATGCACATGCTTGCTTCACAGTGAACTATGCTAATGTGAAGTTAAACATCTCATGTAGAAGCACCCACTGTGCAGTAGATTACTGCACAGTAAATCTAGGCTGGAGTAAATGCATGTATAGAATTGCACCATGAGTTACACTGTTGGTTGCACAATGGCCCAGCTCCAACAGGAGGCCATGTTCTTCAGT